TGTGGAACAGCTTATATCCTGCAACAATACCTTTAACACCATCAAACAACATCTGCCTATCCCAGGTCCTTGGGAAGGACTCAATAGGTGGATAAAAATGCCAGATCCAGTCTAAACATCTGGATGACTGTGTGACCAACAATAATAATAAATTAAATTTATATGCCGCCTGATTCCCAGCAACTCTGGGAAGTTAATTAATTTGCCCTTCCTTCTTCCCTCCCTCTCTCTGTCTATCTCTCTCTCTCTTTCTCTCAGGGTCTTTGTGACTAGAAAGCCCACACACTCTTGTAACAAGCATCAGATTCAGTAAAAGTTACTCTGTCTTGTGTGTTTCTGCATACAGTGTCTGTCTTGCATCACTTCGGTTTAAGTCTAGTGGTTCTTAAACTGTTTGACCCAAGTGCTTCTTTTCCTGATCTTGAATAAATGTTAATATCCCCCAGCGCCCCCCCAAAAAACCCAGACTATTTTACACAAACATCTTGGTAGCCCCAAACTGGATCTTTGACACATAAACAAGGATTTACAAATTGCTCTCTTATCCCCAGGATATGCCCAAATTAACCCTGGTTTAAGAACCAGTGGCCAGGTATACAGACATTGAGAGATAAACAGGGATTTTTAAGTGAACCTTTGCCGTAGGTAGGGGAATCCATATTACCCATTCGTGTTTTAATTTTAACTATTTAATTTTTGCTTTTTATTTATTTTCTGAAGACATGATAGCCATACTCTTACAATATGATCCTAGGCAATTTTAATAAAGCCTCCTAGACTTTTTTTAATGGATAAACCATATCACAATATATATTTATTTTATTTAATATAAAATGAATTCTACATCAGTAATTTCTGTTGTCCCATAGTGGTTCCAGTACAAAGAATATGTGTATTGTGTTATTTCACCTATGCTTTGGAATATATACTATATGATTCAAGGTACTACAATATATTAGGCTTGCTGTTGACATTTTTAATGTACAGATGCCAGTCTTTCTTAGGATCTTTGGTTTTACTTGATGTTGATAAACAAAAGTATTTCAGTTAGTGTTCATAGATTATGTATTATATTTTAATTCTGTTCTGAAAAAAAAGCTCTACAGAAAAAGCATGCAATTCAGTCTTTATTAGTATTCATATATAGTGTGCATGACATTAAGCCAAAGATTATGTGCTTCTCTTTGCTGATAATGTGTGAACTGAGAATTACAAAGGAAAAAGGAGCATTAGGGAGAACCATAGAAGGTTTGTAAGGAAAATATTTTAACTCAGTTTTGTCAATATTACAAAATATTTTTAAAAGGGCTAGCAACATAGTTCTATGTGTGCCTGCTCAGAAATAAATTCCACTAAATTCATTGCTATTTATTACAAGATTAGTGAAGTTAGGATTGTAGCCTGAATCATCATCGTCATTCCAAACATGATACTTACTCTTTGTCAGCTGGTCCAGCTAAACAATCTTATCTAGTCTTTCCCCTAAAATAGTACAATGCATCTTAATGTAGTGATCATTGAGTCTGGAATACTGTCTATGGAGAACTGGTAATGTAAGAACAGAATATGCTTAACAGGAGGGCTTCATGTTGTAATATCAATTCCTGATTGGTTTTTACAATTTATTTACAGCACTTTTACTGCTTTTTGCTCTTTAGCAAAAAGAGATTGTTAGAGCACTTCGCATAGTTCAGAAATAGGGTAATCCCTATTCTTGTTGTTATAGGATCAGCTGTCATAGAAGTCAATCTTCTCATGGCTCTAGCATGTGAAAATATGGTAGTAGTCTGAGGACTGAGTATATTAATGAGGGTTTATGAGGGTTTTACAATGCTGAAAATCTTAATTTTGGAATGTTTCATCTCTCACTTCTTCTCCTTGCTGTCTCCTTGCTTTCTATTCACCATAAGGTGCTTTTCCTAATTTTTACCTCCATCCCAGTAAATCCATCAGTTATTTCAGCCCATAGTATGCATACTTTCAAGAATTAGTCCTTATCACTAGTACTTGTCACTTCTCTTTCCAAAAATAAAAATCTTCCCTCACTATGGAGCTGGATCTTTATATCTCCTGCTTTACCTGTGTGTGGTGTAAAAACAGGACCTTAGAACCCAATGGGAGTGGTTTCTTTTCCTTGCGGCTAATTTGATAACAAATATGCCCCAATTACAGCTTCCCCAAGGTGAACTAATTATCAGTAAAATGCTAGAGGAAGTATTTCAGTCATTTACCATTGTCTAGTCAGAGATAAGTTCATTGTTGTCAATAGGATGCTCAGAAAACTTGTTATCAGATTGCAGCCTCAATCAACATGGTAGTGTGGTGCCATTGGCTCAGTTTTTGAAACATGAAAAAACAGATTCTCACTATCTTCTTAGTGCAAGGGTAGGCAGCCCACATGTGGTCCTTAGTCTTCCAGGGAAAATATAGCTATTTTCAGTTCTGTTTCATTATATTGGAGGTCAAGGGCAAATCGGATGTCTTTAGCACCCCTTAACATCCCCCAGATTGAGGTGATTTTCCTGGTTTGGAAGAGTTTTGAAAAACAAAACAGATGCTTTCATTCTATAGAAAATTTAAGGCTCTAACCACCCCAGGAAAAAAAAAATTAGTCCAGTGATGGCAAGAGCACTGGGGTCACAATGAATTAGTTCCCATCAGGAGAGAATATGAATGTGAGCCAAGCTGCTCATTATTGATTTCATTGTTCATTGCTGAACTCTTGTTTTTATCTTGGTTGTTTTTTGTAAGCATCCCAAGGTCACATTGTTTGAGTTGAGCGACCATATTAATTTGTTATAAATAAACAAATCTACTTTTAGGACCCCCAGCAGGGCATAAAAAGGAAGTCCCCACACCATATAAGATTGCCCACTTTTCCTTTATGGTCTTGTATTTTATATTCATATAAGCACTATTAAGTCATTTGGCAGGGAAATTTAATCTCCCAATTTATTTTCATGAAATAAATATCGAGGTAGAGAGAGAAAGCCAATTTAGGCTGGTAAAAATGACATTTCATGCATTCCCTGACAAATATAAAATATATGTTACTGTTCCATTTGATTCTGCAGGATAATTTCCTCAGGGGAAACTTGCCATACGGTGAGAAGAAAATTTGAAGTAACTTAAACCTGCTGTCTGAAGAAAATAAACTAGGTGTCTAAGAAAGCATGGTTAACAGAGGAAATGCTTTTTGTTAATTTGACAAAAGCAGGTGACAGAAATTGCTCTGAAGAATCCATTTCTGCTTTTTACATAGAGGCAGATTGGGAGTACATTAGTATGATCACAGAGGCTGTGCTGTATTTTTATTATTGTTCAGCTGCAATTGCAACAGTACATAATGTAGGTTCAAAACAGACATTTATCCTTGGATTACAGGCATTGATCCCGAAGCAGTATAGGCAAATGATAACTCAGGTGGCTTAACAAGACTGTTACTATACCTGATCTCTCCTGCTGTGCGTAATGTTGAGCTTTATTCTTTTTAAGAAGCTTCAATATTGTGCTACGTAATAAGCTATGGAAGAAAAGTAGTTTTCATAGGTGATTCTCTACATTATGCACTATATTTGTTCCCAATATTTAGGCTACTGTCCAGGGCAGACCATCCCAAGGAAGTTTATGTAAACAACTTAAAGACTTAAATATAGCTAAATCACTCTCACTCCAGTCATTGTTTTAAAAGCTAACAAGTGAGTTGGGCCTGATTCCTGGGTCCTGTATGGACAAATACCGTTTATGTTGGCTATCCACAGCTCTTCATATCTGTCCATCTACTTCTCCCCTTCTCTTCTTCAACCAATCATAGTTGCCTTTTTGTAACCTATCATATGCCCAAAGAATGTGAGTTATATAAGTTCTGCTTGGAGGTCATTGCACTAGGAGTAGTCATTATGTTTCTCTTCCAGGACCAATTTATTGGTTCTATGTGCAGTTCATGGTACTCATTGTAACCATCTCCAAATTCATAATTTAGATGAGCCTATCATTCTTTCTCAATGTCCAGTTTTCACAGCAGTATAAACTATTAGGAAGGCTATTGCTTTAAATGAGGGAGACAGGGTTGTAAACTGTCTCCTTATTTATTCAACCTATATGCTAAATATAAAGAAAAGCTGGGTTGGAAAAAGATGTGATTGGTTTTAAAAGTGGTAGAAGAAACATCAATAACCTGCACTGTGCTTATGACACTACTCTGGTAGCCAAAAATGCAAAGGTTGGTCAAGCTATAGTAATAAAAGTCAAAGAGAACAGTGAAAATATGGGACTAAATTAAATATAAAAGACCAAACTAATGACAAGTACAACAACCAGCTTAGAATTTACAATGAAGATAATTAAGTGGTTGGTAGCTTCTGCCTTTCAGGATCAGTAAATCAAGAAATACGGCACAGATTAGCACTTGGTAGAGTGGCCATGAAAGCTTTGGAAAAGATATTCAGAAGCCTACAAAGATCAGAATAATGCAAGCAATTATATTCCCTGTGACACTCTGTGGAAGCAAAACTTGGATTTTGAAAAAGCAGAATAGGAAGAGTATTGAAGCTTTGGAACTTGAGTATTGGAGAAGACTCCTGAAAATGCCATGGACAGCCGAGAAACCAATAAAGCATTGAACAAATTAACCTAGAGTTCTCACTTGAGGCACAAATGACCACATTCAGATTACCATACTTCAGACACACTATGCGTAGACTTAGCTCTAATGCTGGGAAAGGTGGAAGAAAAGTAAAAAAGAGGATGATCAGCAGTAACGTGGATGGATTCAGTTACGGTGGCAATTGGTGCACCATTGAAAGACTTTTTTTTTTTTGTATACAGATTAGACCTAGGAATAGATTGTAGCAAACAAATACATCAAAATCTTTTTGTTGCCATCTGGTTGTAATTTAAACTTGTACAACCCAAATATGATACAGGTAGTCCTCAACCTACGATGGCAATTGGGACTGGAAGTTCCATTGCTAAGTGATGCAATCAGCAATCCCTGCAGTCTTGGTTGCCGTTGTTATCCGAGTCCCACCATTGTTAGGCAAGGTAATTTCCTGCTGTCTTCCTACAACCAAGTCAGTGGGGAAGCCAGTAGGAAGTTGCAAGTCCCAGACGGCTTACAAGGAGGTTGGTAGGCAAGTAAGTGGCTGCTGCTGGATGGGGGAGGGTGCAAGGGAGGGTGCGTGGGGGTGGGAGGAAGTGTGGTGAGGGTTGATGAGGGTGCAAGGAAGGTGTAGGGAGGGTCGGGGAGGGTGCGAGGGAGGTGCAGTGGGATCGGGGAGGGTGTGCAGGGGTGCAAGGGAGGCACAGCGAGGCTTGGGGAGGGTGCGCAGGGGTGTGCAAGCGGCTGGCCTGGCACGAGCGTAGAGGGGCCGGGGGGTGGATGCGCAGCTGAGGGAGACTTACCCCAGCAACTTGTAACCTTCCCTGCCAGCTTCCTCATTGACTTTCTGGGGAAGCTGGCAGGGAAGTTTGCAAATGACAGTCACATGAATGTGGGGTGCTGCAACCGGTCATAGGTGTGAGCCGGTTGCCAAGCACCCAGATCGCAATCACATGACCATGGGGGTGCTGGGATGGCCAGAACTCCACAGACCAGTCGTAACCACCATTCATTCAGTGCCGTCGTAACTTTGAATGGTCGCTGAACGAATGATCATAAGTCGAGGACTACCTGTAGGCTTAACTGCAACAGACTAATGATCTCAGCTATCTTTAAAAGATAGCACTGTGTAAATGTTGGCTTGAAGGGGACTGAGAAACTGTGAACATTGGCTTCCTCTCAGAATTGCTTGCGGCAAGAAAGCAATAATCTTGTCTTGCCAGGTTGTATTTGCCTTGTATTTATATCTTTAGGAGCATTCTCTTAATTGTTCTGCCTCTATAAAACCCCCATGGTTTCGTTAGTATGGTAGAAATATTTCAGAGGGACATGGGCTGATAATATTGGTTAAGGTTATAGTATTAATTTCTGTATGTGGTTGCTCATTTGTAAAGTTTCAGATTTATTAATTAGGGTCTTTTTCTCTATTTTAGGGAGTCATTGTTACTTCCTATCAACTGACTAATCTTGGAAATGGGACATCTTTTTTCAAGATAGTACTTCAAGGTATTTCAGCACAAAGTGTACTATATTCTCATGATTATATTCATGGTTAGGTTTGTCAAACTAGATGTGTATTCAATGTGCATGATGCAGGTGAGAAATATAGAATACAAAAGCAATGAACTATCACAGAGAGAACATTTATAAAGTTCCTGAGAGAATGAGTGCAGTGTAATATAATGTAAATAATGCTGCATAGTATTTATTTGGGAACAAAATCTTTCCAAAGTATGAACCTTGCTTCTTAGTATTGGTTCACCATGCTTACCCATAAATTGAAACAAGATGAGTGGAATTTTGCTTGTAGAGTGACTTGGAGAGAGTTGATTCTTTAAGCCTTAAAACTAACCTGTAAAATACGTTATGTGACCCAGTCACTTAATGTATATCGTGTTTTTTTCCCAACTGGTCACAGGGTTTTCTTCCCATTCTAATGAGAAATAACCCTTAGTCATAATATTGGAGAATGCAGGACCAGGAGCTGCTGCTGTTGTATTCAGATATTTGCAAACAGTGAGGCTATGATATTTATCTTTTTAGAGTCAGAAAACTCATCTTCCAGGAATAGCAGCATCTACATTTTAATATATGGGAAACTGGCAGAAGATTGTGCCAAAGTTGTCCAGCAAGGGGTAAATGCTTTTATTTTTCTTGTTACTAAAATTAATATAGATGGTCTATATTTACCCAATTGATACATGTGACATTGCAAGACCAGCCTATGTAGCTTTATTTTGATTTATTAATTAGCTTGTCTTTAAACTTGTAATTCCTTGGAACTACTGATGTGCTTGGGTGTCTTTCATTGTTAGATTTGTCATTACCTATATTTCAGTATTATGTCTCTATTTAGTACAGTTCACTGAGGTATCACTGGGGCATTACCTAAACAGCCAGGTAAAAACACAGATAGAACAGCCTTGTGACTTGACCAAAAAGGGCTGTTTTATAATGGATGCAGGAGAGTCCATTAAAATGTAGCCACCTGTCACTTCCTGTAACTAAACAAACATCTAGACATTGGAATAGTTTTTTCCCTTGTGCCATTGCTCTGTTAAACACTGTATG